GAGGGGTTTGTCTTTCTCAAACCTCTCCAGGGGACTCTTGATGTGTTCTTGGGTTCAGAACCATCAGTCTGCACCAGTGGCTTTGCAGAAGCAAATAGTTTCCCCAGGAGAGGGCAACCTGCCCTACTTCCTCCCATAGGCTCCTGGAATTTTTAGGACCTGAAATGACAACTGTCCTTGCAGGGTCCCCCTCCTCCAGACTGGCCCCATGGAGCTAAATCCCTGCCTCTTCACTACCCCAAAATGAGAGTAACCAGCTACCAAGCTCACTTGAGATAAGCAAGCTTGTCACTCCTGTCTCCCAGGATGCCACACTCCTGACTTGCCACCTCCCCAAGCTCTTCTGCTAACACATTTCATATTCTCTGACCTCTCTTCTGTCTACAGCCTACTTCCCCAGTGACCTCATCTCATCCTGTGACCTGCTACAATCTCTGCCTGCAGTCTCCACTTCTCTGCTGTCCACACTGGATGTTTTTAAAATGCAGTCATAGCATGCATGACTCTTCTTAATCCATCCTGATTTTTTTATTGCCTTCTGATATAATTTACTTATTTCTTACATTTTCTCTTTATTGCTCTTTCTCTCTTTTGCCTAGCCATCCCAGCATCACCTCAGCTGGGGTGGGAATCACTCTCCTCTTTGCTCTCTGATACAGATGAAGGATTTGCCAGGTAGTAAGTGCTTCCTAAATGAATGCTAAAGACAGCAGCATTTTGTAGAACTTTCAGAAAAAGAAAAGCTAAAAGTCCTCCTGCAAAGCATTCTTTGGTTAAACTGTAACTTCTTCTGTACTAACTATGGCCTCTAAAAGGAAGGAACTCTAACTTTGATCCATTCAGAAGTGGGAAGTTATGCCACATTATCTTATTTAGCCTTTTTTGTTTTCCCTGGGATTACAGGTATGTGCCACCATGCCTGGATTAAAAACAAAAACAAAAAAAAGTGGGTTTTTTTTTTTTTTGCAGTGCTGGGCATTGAAACATTTTGTATTTATTTGATAACACTCAAGGATGAAACAAATTTTGAATGATACCCATGAATTCAAAATGTGACCCACAGGGATCAATGTGTATAAGGTGTTTGTTACAGGTCCACATTGAGGTTAAGTTATTGAAAATAAGCATCAAAAACTTTTACAACAGTTTGATAGAGTCATTTTATATCTGCTAAAGCTAATAATAAAATATTGGGAGCCATGCTTAGTGGTGCATGCCTGTAATCCCAGCTTCTTAGGCAGTGAGGACAGGAAGATTGTGAGTTCCAGGCTAACCTGGGCAAAGTTGGTGAGACCCTGTCTCAAAAACAAAATAAAAACAAAAGAGCTGGGTAAGTAACTCAAATGATAGAGCCAAGCAGAGGCCCTGGATTCAGTCCCCATTACCACCAAAAAGTGTGTATGTGTGGCGGGGGGGGGGGGAGGTCTTCTAATTGTGTACCTTTTTCCATTTATCTCAAAATTCTTTTTATTATATGTTTACAAAAATATTAGTGTTGGGAATTAGAAAAACCAAGCAGATCATTCACCACACATAGTGGGAGAGGGAGTAGTCAAATGGACATCAGGGTTGACTTGCGAAGTTGAAGAAAAACACAGGCAATTGGACCTTCTATACTTCACAAATCATTGCCTTGATCGTCAGGTGTCCCTCTCTTGTAATGGCGATGAGCTTTCTTCTTCTTCATTGTTGTGCTGGGGTTATGTTGCAGCGTTTACAAAAGTTCTTACAATATACCAGGGTTGAATTCGCCCCTCCACCATTCTCCTTTATCCCCCTGCCTCCATTCCTGGAATAGGTCTCATTTTTCCATTTTCACACATGTGTACACAGTATTTGCACCATATTCACCCTCTTTCACCCTTTCTCCACATCCTTTCCCCTCCCACTGGTACCAACCCCTCAGACAAAACCTGTTCTGTCTGCCCTTTTGTCCTCTGATTTTGTAAAAGAAGAAAAAAATTACCTTTTTGTTTGTTAAAGATAACTCCACCAGGAGTTTCCTTGTGACATTTCCATGTATATATGTATTATAACCCAAATGGGTTCGTCCCTCTGGTTTTTTTTTTTTTCCCTTTCTACCTTAGTCCTGTTCTTATGGTGATTTCAATTGGTTAAAAATTCTACATTCATTCTTGAATAGAAAGTGCATCAACCACACTCACGTTCTTAACTTCCTTCTTTTACCTCTGGCTCTCATATATATGTGACGTCTCCTTAGTGTGACCCATTTTTCTAAAGGTAGACATTTCGCCATAGTGACACAGCTCTTTAATGCACAGTAGACCTCCTTTACCTGTGAACTGTCATGACCAACTGTGGTCCAAAAATATTAAAAGGAAAATTTCAGTCAGAAACAATACAATATTTTAAGAGAGAGAGAGTTTGCTTTCACATAATTTTTTTTTTTTTTTTTTTTTTGTGGTTCTGAGGTTTGAACGCAAGGCCTACACCTTGAGCCACTCCACACCCCTTTTTTGTGGTGGGTTATTTCAATATAGGGAACTATTTGCCCAGGCTGGCTTCGAACCTCCATCCTCCTGATCTCTGCCTCTTGAGTAGCTGGGATTATAGGGGTGAACCATATAATTTTATTACAGCATATTGTATGTATGATAGTGTTGACTTTTATTGTTATTATTATTAATCACTTGCTGTGCCTAACTTACAAATTAAACTTTATCGGAAGGATGTATGCATAGGAAAACAGTGTATAGAGTTTTGGTTTCCGGCATCCCCATCAGACAAGGCAGCACTACTGTATATTGTACTTCTTTTAACCCTGGACAGGACATGCAGTTTTGATTGGTTCTAATTTGAAATCATGCATGTCTCTTGCAACCCAATCAGCTGAAGACCAGCAGGAACATAAAATCTAACAGTCACATTTATTGGCTCACTGCAGTGATGGAGCTCACATACCAGGGAAGCCTGTGGGGTCTCACTAAGGAGAAGAGAGATCTGTTATTGCATTTTGGAGAATGGTGGAACCCAGATGAAGTTCTAAGGTGTGGTGTATTTTGTTTGTTTGTTTTGCTTTTGTTTTGTTTTTTTCTGGTACCATGGTTTGAACTCAAGACATATACCTAGAGCCACTCCTCCAGTCCTTACTATTTGCCAAGGCTGGCTTCAAACCACAGTCCTCCTGATCTCTGCCTCCTGAGTACCTAGGATTACAGGCATGAGCCACCAGCTTAGTGCAATGTTTTGATCGGCTCAAAGCAGGGCCAAGTACAGAGGTTTGGATGGGGAAGTGGACCCTTGCTCTTGTTTCCTCTGAGACTACAAAGCTAAGACAGACTTGAAATCCTGTGTCCCAAAAATTCCCCAATCTGAAGCTCTGCACCTATCAGGAAACCCAGTGTCCCATGTGTCAGGAGGAAGATATTTCATTCTTGTGATTTCAGACAGCAAAGTTTCTGACCAACTGTGATTGTAAAGAACAAGGTTTCTCCATGAGATAAGGAAGCAGTAGTCACCCAGAAAAGGGAATTATTACAACACTGCAGGGTGACCATGGCGGAATGTGGTTTTCCATTAACTTGGTGGCTGGTTTCATCTGTGTTACCCCAAGCCTGTGTTATCAACAGAGGGACTGACCTTTTACTTTCTCCTGTCACAGCATAGCTGTTTCACATAGGCTAGATTCTGCACATCCATGAGCCTAACTGACATGCTGAGTTTTGATCCACTGGTTCATGATATGTATTAATTGGAGGTTTTGATAAAGTTCAAATTGCAAAAGTGCCTAGCATTTGCATCTGATGTCTTAACACACCTAGGGACTTGTAAAGCACTGAAGAAATAACTTACTGAACAAATGACCTGGGAAAAAAAGCTATGATTAGAAGTGGTGTTAGAAATGGAAGAAAAAGAAACAGGTACAAGAAAGCAGTGGTTGAAAACTTCATAGTATTAGAGCCTTTGAACATCAGGCAGAGATTGGTTCAAGAAAATCTCTAGATGTGAGGAAAAGGATATAGATGGGGATTCAGCATTGCATGCAGTGGTGAAAACTGAAGCGTGAGCACTGAAGGTTTCACTGTACACCCCCAAATAGATCTGTAATTCCTCCCCCGAGGGTGTTCATGAAATAATGTAAACATTGACATTAGAATAGAGTATATGTTTTTAATTGTATGGTAATATGTATAGGAAATGTCTGCAAGGAAGTTTTTGAAAGTAGTATCAATGTCTACCTCAGAGGTTTGATGGCTGGAAGTTTTGCTTCCTTATTCTTTATTTTCTATAATTAGCTTATGTTCCCAGTACTACAGTAAGCATAGATCACCACACTACAATGTAGTTCTAACGTAAGCATTATGACCCAGAGAAAGAAATTCATTGCTATTGGAAAATAAGTAATGGTTGTGAGCCAGAAAGCAGAAGTTTTAAGAGGGAAATTATATATTAGAGTTATTCTTCTTTATGGCACTGTCAGAATGTGTTTTTCTCACTATGTCCACAGTATGTTAAAGAACACAAGTTATAATTTATCATGTGATCAGTGGTTTATATGCTGAACTTAGCTGGATGAATCTGAATCTTTTGAACTATATAATTTTTAGCATTGACCACTTTTGGCTTCATTACTTACTTCTGGGAGGAGTAACAAATTTCACAGACCATCTGCAGTAGTGGCTTGACATTGGTTGTTATGCTCAGAAAAAGGGGCTCAAAAGTCAGACCCTGTTACTGTTGGTGTTATGTTAAAACTTTTTATTTTTCCATTTTCTGTAGGATACTTTTAGGTTTCCAACAAGAAAGGAATGATAAAATGCTAGACACTTACAAAGAGAAAGATGGGGGAATTATTGAAATCTGGTTAAGATGTGTTGAGATTTATGGGCAGAGTTCACCTTGGTTCAGTTGCTCATTTTGCCATTATAGCAAACTTCTAAGTAGGAAGAGCACACAGATCTAAACTTGAAGGCTGAGTGTGACTGCAGTTTCTGAGTGACAGCATTGCCTTAACTGGACTTCTCTCTTTCCCTCTGCAGTCTGGGACCATGTCTGGGGAAGTTCCACTAAACATCAACATCAAGGAACCCCGGTGGGATCAAAGCACCTTTGTTGGGCGCGCCAATCATTTCTTCATGGTAACGGATCCCAGGAATATTCTGTTAACAAATGAACAACTAGAGAACGCCAGAAAAATCGTACATGATTACAGGTAACATTAATGATTATGGTTTGGGATTTAATGTAGATGCAGATCTTCATGTTGCTTCACTGTTTCAAACCTTTGCTTCATGGTTTTGCAAGGTGTTTTTTGCAATGAAATGCTTTTTACCCAACAAAAAGCCTAGGAAGACCTGTCACACCCCCATTGCTGACCATTAGGCAGATATCCAAGGTTTGTTTTTAACTCAAAAATGAGACAGTTATCCCTTCTACTCAGAGGTAGCTGTCTGTGAGGTCTCCCTTCCCCAGCACCTTGCCTCTTTTCTTTAATACAACCACCCCAGATAATTCTTCTGTCTCTGGACAGAAACAGCATCATCCAGGAAACAGGTTACCAAGAGTTATGGGAGGGTCCTTGCTCCAAGGTAAAGCCCCAGTGAATAAAACTTTCTGGGTAAGCACTCAGATGGGAAGGACGCTGATGGGAGTTCGGGGATCATAGATTCAGGTTGTACTCCATCAGTTGAGAGAGCCACTTGTAAGGCAAGAGAGGATGTTACCTGTGCAGAGAGACAGTTGGCCCTCCCCCAGGACTGGTTTTACAGCTACAGGTTGAACCAACTGCAGATGAAAAATATTTGGAAAAAAATTATCTTACACCTATGTTGAATAGGTGCAGTCTTTTTTCTTGCCATTAACCCTACACACTACAGTATAACAACTGTTGACCTGACATTTACATTGTATTAGATATTATAAATCATTACAGATGAAATAAGGTATATGTGTGGGAGAGAATCTGAGTGTGGTGGTGCACACCTGCAGACCCAGCTGCTTAGGAGGCTGAAGCAAGAGGATCTTTTGAGCCAATGAGTCAAGACCAGCCTGAGCAACATAGTGAGGAAAAAAAGTACATGGGACGATTGTGTGAGTTATATGCAAATGTGATGCATTTTCTAGAAAAGATGGGCAACCTTGGATTCTGATGTCCATGGAGGTACAGGTCCTATAACCAATCCCTTGTGGATACCTAGGGATGACTGGACCCCAAGCAGCAGTGGGCACTTTTTATGTAAAAGACTAAGCAGGAAATATTTCAGGCTTTGTGGACCACTGTGACCCAGGAGGAAAGAGTGTGGACAATAGTAGCATGCTCGCCTCTTGCTCAGGGGAAAAACCAACCAGCGCAGGGACTTGGATTGTTGGCAAGAGTTGTACCTAAACTTGTCCAGGAGGCATCTATCAGAGGCAGACTTCGGAGAGGTGGTTAGGAAGGGAACTGAGGCCAGTCTCCAACACCGAGAGGGAACACACAGAGCTGCAGATGTAACTCAGTGGTGTGACACTTGTCTATCTTGGGTGAGGCCCTGGGTTCCATCCTAGCACTCTGGCTGAGGGAGGTGAAGAGGAGGAAGGAATGAATATACAAAAAATGGAACATCGTGGAAATTTATGAAAAAATACCAGAAAATGAGGTAAAAGAAGACCTCATATAAACATATTCCAGGAATTCAGGAAAATAAAGTTCTTTGTGAATCTGGATGAAAACCTATAAGAAAAGGAGAGAAGTTGAGACACAAAGATTGGTGTGAGTTGAAAAGAAGACACGAGGAAGATAGCAAGAACCTAAAAATGTCAGAGGAAAGTTAGAATCCTCTCAGGAGACAGTGGTAGAGAGGTAGAAATGAAGCCATGAGAAAGTAGACTTTGAAACTAGCAGGACAAGAACGAGTCTGCCAAGGTTGATGAGCAGTGACCAACAGAGCTTTCCCTGCAAAAGACCAGAGGGCAAATTTTTTAGGCATTGCAGCAGCATTTGTTGCATGTTCTTGTTGGTTTGTTTTTTCAACTCTCTAAAAATGTGAATCCCTGACAGAGGTGAAAAAAGCAGAGGTAGTAAAAGGTTATACGCCAGGACTGGAGAATGGAGATTAAGCTTATAGTCATCCAATGCTTCCCAAGGAAGCATGAGAAAAATGCAAGTGAAGCACTATGACATGCATGACACAAAAGGGGCATTCCTCAGATAAGGAAACACGTGCTAGTTAAAGAGACCCTTGCTGTTTGAGACAATTTCTTTTCATCTTTTATGTTGCCTTATAAACAAACTTTTTAAACTTCCATAAGGAACTGTGAATAGTATAAAAAAGAAGTTCTTAAGAAAGATAACCTGACCAAAAGGTCTGTCTTTCATCTCTGCACTGAGTGCAGAAAAACAGTGAAGCAATGTGGAAAGGTTTTCAACAGAGTTGCAACCAGGAATTTTTGTAACATTGTCTTTATTTGCAAAGGCAACAAAAATAGTCAAGAGTTTCAAGTTCCCACTCCTTGTAAACCCTTCTTGAGTGGACAAGAGATGAAGCAAAGGAAAAAGAGGCAGAAGTTGTTGTATGGGAATTTGACAAACACAATCCACAGAAATGGATGAAAAAAAAATGATACTGATTAAAGACACAGTGAGCATCAAATGAAAAACATTCAGGAGCCAGTAAATACTACATCAAAATAGACCAAGAAAGGGCTGCTAGGAATACAGAGAGAAATTAATTAAAGCACAGTAACAATAGGAAATTCTAACATATTGCTCTTTTTTTTGGTGGGACTGGGGTTTGAACTCAGGGTCTCATACTTGCTAGGCAGATGCTCTACCACTTGAGCCATTCCACTAGCCCTTTTTTGTGTTGGGATTTCTTGAGATAGGTCTTGTGAACTTTTTGCCCATGTTGGCCTTGAACTGTGATCTTCCTGATCTTAGCCTCCCACACAGCTGGAATTACAGGCAGGAGCCTGGCTCACTCATACTCTTTGTTGGATCATATTAGAAATTTTAAGTTCTCTATTTTAACTCTTTGTTCAAAATGAAAAACCATCCACAGCACCACACACACACACACACACACACACACACACACACACTCACACAAAAGTAGAATTACAATGAGAAAACAGGAACCTTATGAACTGTGCCAAAATTGTGTTTCTGTGGGAAATTGATATCTTTCCATATCTGTGGTTCAGTAAGGAAGACTGACAGTGAGTGAACTGAGCATTAAGAAATCAGAGGACAGCTGGACTGGGGAAGCACTTCCTGGGTGCCAGGAACTGCTTGAAGGTCTCCATATTTATCAGTTCAACCCTCACAATAGTTGTTAAAGGTAGGGACATTGTCACCCCATTTTAATTAATTAATTAATTTTTTGTGGTACTGGAATTTGAACTCGGGGCCTACAACTTGAGCCACTCTACCAGCCCTTGTTTGTGAAGGGTTTTTTTGAGACGGGGTCTCTTGAACTCTTTGCCAGGACTGGCTTCCAACCACAATCCTCCTGATCTCTGCCTCCTGAGTAGCAAAGATTATAGGTGTGAGCCACTAGCACCCAGCTGTCACTCCATTTTTTTAGGGAGAACAAGGAAGGCATAAAAGGTGACCTTGTTCAGAGTCGTACTGCTGGTGAGCTTTGGATCCGGGCCTAGAAACCAGGTCTGACTGCAGAGTGTACAAAGTTCATCACCACGTAGACAGGTTTTCCAGGAAAATGGGCAAGGCTTCATTTTTAGAATTCAGAAATTAATTAATAGGATTAAAAATAAAATGGAAGAACTGGTTCTTTGATGGACCCAGTATGTAATAAGTCTCTGTCAAGTCTAATAAAGATTTAAATATAACTCAAAGTGCACCCAAAGCGGAATAGGAAAGTTAACCAGGAACGAAATAATAATATGAAAATAAACCTACTATATACCTTTTTTTTGGCTAAACTTCCTAAAAAAACCTCATAAAGTAAATAACTTTCAGCCCATTTATAAATTCTGAAATTGCCTCGATCCAAAAGAAGACAGAAAGAGAAGAAAAAGGAGTGAGGGAAAAGTGAGACAAGCAGAAGACGTAGAGCAAGATGGTAAAACAAACACGAAAATCTGCTCCATAACATCTCCAAGGCTAGATGACTTTACAGGCACAAGAAAACAATTTTTTTTTAGGAAGAAATACCAATTCAGCCACAAGCTCCTCCAAAAATAGAAGGGGAAACACTTCCTTGTTCATTTTATAAGGCCACAAATAAGCCCCCTCCAGCAAAATCAGACAAAGGATTACAAGAAAATACTATGGAATGATATCCTTATCAATTTAGACAGGAAAGTCCTAAGAACAGGTGACGAGCTGATGCTGGCCTGTTGTAGGAAGCGCTTGGAGTGGTGCTCACGTAAACAGAACTCACAGGGAGTGGCTGGTAAGAACGTGAAACCGACTTAGCATCTGTAAGTCACTGTGTTTGCAGATGACAAAGCAAAAAGCCATGGAAGCAGGCAAAATCCAGTATCTTTCACAATAAAACTCAAAAACTAGAGCTGGAAAGGGAAAGTCTGTCTACAGAAAACCTACAGCTAACATCCAGCCTACTGACAAGCTGGTTGTGGTGACACATGCCAATAATCAGTGAGGTGAAGAGGATGAGGCAGGAGAATCATGAGTTCAAGGCCAGACTGTGCTAAAAAAAAAAAAAAAAAGCTACTGACAAGACATTGAGCATTCCTCCCCCCCCCCTCCCCACACACACAAAGCTTGGGAACAAGGCAAGGATTTCAATTCTTAATAGAAAAATTTTTAAAAAAAGATAAGGAAGGAATAAAGCTATCTTCATTCACAGAAAGCATGCTCATCTTCTAGAAAGAACCTACAAAATAAAGCAAATAGAACAAGTGAGTTTTGCAAGGTCACAAGATAGGAGATCAGTTCACAATTTTCTTTCTGTCTAGTAGGAATTAACAGCTATAAATCGGAAATTTAAAAAGGATACCATTTTCAGCAGTAACAAAGTAGTAAGTACTTGGAGGTTACTTTAACCAAATAATGTAAAATGCCTACACCAAAATTGATACACACAGAAATTCCAGAGAGGAATTGGTGTTGGGACATGTGTCAAATGTAGATATAAAACTGTAACCATACATCAGAAAAAACAGTGTAGCTAAGATGTCATTTCTTCCCAAACTGATGTGTAGATTCAATGTAGTTATTTAAAAACACCCAGCAGGCTTTTCATAGAA